AACCCTAACCCTAACCCTAACCCTAACCCTAACCCTAACCCTAACCCTAACCCTAACCCTAACCCTAACCCTAACCCTAACCCTAACCCTAACCCTAACCCTAACCCTAACCCTAACCCTAACCCTAACCCTAACCCTAAACCCTAACCCTAAACCCTAACCCTAACCCTAACCCTAACCCTAACCCTAACCCTAACCCTAACCCTAACCCTAACCCTAACCCTAACCCCGCCCCTAGCCACTTCGTGAGCTTCTTAACAATAACAATCATTCGCGGAGACCCGGCCACTTTCGTGGCGGATTAGGGTCTCAGTGGGCGCGCGCTTTTGCGCCCACCGGGCCGCCTAAAAGGAATCTAAACGGAATCTTACACTCTAGGCCCTTGATTTCCTAGAGTGTATCCGTACCTCCTGTTCACACCTCGCAGCTTTGAACAGTGATTGCCGTACTCCCGCCGCATAGCGTTCGAGTCGCACGAGTAGCGCAGCCAGGGAGTGTTAGGAGTTGGTGGGTTAAAGGGCCGGGGTTTGCGTGTGGTGGCAGCTCCGCTGCTGACTCACGCGAACCTTCTGCCCGGACATGTCCCAGAACGGCTACTGCGCACCGTCGCTAACAGTCTGGACCCGGGCATAGTGGCAGCCGTCCCCGCGATTACAGGCGCCACTGATTAATCACAAAATGGAGTTAGTGGTTTAGGCACAACGGGGGTCCCACCCACCCGTTCCCTAACCCTAACCCTAACCCTAACCCTAACCCTAACCCTAACCCTAACCCTAACCCCGCCCCTAGCCACTTCGTGAGCTTCTTAACAATAACAATCATTCGCGGAGACTCGGCCACTTTCGTGGCGGATTAGGGTCTCAGTGGGCGCGCGCTTTTGCGCCCACCGGGCCGCCTAAAAGGAATCTAAACGGAATCTTACACTCTAGGCCCTTGATTTCCTAGAGTGTATCCGTACCTCCTGTTCACACCTCGCAGCTTTGAACAGTGATTGCCGTACTCCCGCCGCATAGCGTTCGAGTCGCACGAGTAGCGCAGCCAGTGAGTGTTAGGAGTTGGTGGGTTAAAGGGCCGGACAAACCCTATTGACACAAACCCTAGGCCCTGTTCTGACACAAACTTGGTCCCGTTCTGACACAAACTTCAACTTTCAACTTCGAGTCCAAGTTCGCTGTTCTGACAATCTGTTCTGACAATTTAAAAAGAAATGCGATCCGCCAAGCGGGAGCGCTAAGGGGGGAGCGCGCAACCGTCGAGCAGGAGCAACGCCAAGACCGCCATGATGGCTCGAGGCAGCAAACGCGCTCTTGGGATGGTCTGCTCCGCAGCCAGGAGCCCCGCGACAGAGCCGAAGAAGCCGCGGCCCGGCAGCAGCAGGCCGAAACGCCGCAGCACAAAGCGCAATGCGCGGGCCCGGCGGTCCAGGTAGACGCGAAGGCTGCATCCAAGACGGCAGCCTCGGGTCACGCGCGACCGAACGTGCCGCTTGCGCCGCCGCCGCGCCGTTCTTTGGCACCACCGCCAAACGGCCCTTGCTCCTCCGCGACACTCGCCGCAGAGACGGCGCTTGTCGCCGCCAAAGCAATAGCAACAGCGGTGGCAGCGAGACTTAACGTCGGCAGTGCGGCCTCGCCGCAGCCTGGCCGGCGCTCGCCTTGCCCTGGCCAGGCGGCCGAGCAGGCGGTGCCCGCAGCCGAGGCAGATCAGCGGGATGGGCTCGAGCGGGCGCCGCCGCCGCCTGGCGCCGCGCCCGCAAAGGAGCCTGCAAATAGGCGGGGGCGATCGGCGAGGCGGTGGCGCTCGCACCAGCCGTCTTGCAGATGTTCACACTTCGCCCGCTCTCGGGCAGTGCTGGCAACGTTCTGACAGTACCCTACCCACAAAAGTGTTCTGACAGCGTTCTGACAGCGTTCTGACAGCGTTCTGACAGCGTTCTGACAGTGTTCTGACAGCCGTTCTGACAGCTTTCCGACGGTAATTTACAGTTAAGACTCACCATCTGGTCTGATTAAAGGAGAGCGATCTCAGTGTCGGTTACAGCAGAAAGATTCCTTAATTCTCTCCACTACAAAAAAAAGGGAGAAGAGGAATGGGGGAGGGGGAAAGGGTCCGGTTTAAGAATAAGCGCGCCGAAAAGGCGCGCGAACCGTTTAAAACCAGCTGAAGGATGAGCGGCGAGGCCGGAGAGGAGCTGGATACACCGGCCGCTCGCATCATGGCGCGTCGCGAGAGCCGCGCCGCGATGCCGGACCGGCTCAAGGTGGCGGCGCCGGACGACAGCTCGGATGAGGAGTGGAACGGAGACGACGACGAGGATGAGGAGGAGGACGGTCGCGTTTACTTGGACGCGTCGAAGTGTGGCCGCGTGCGCTTGCACGCGGTGCAAGGACCTGCGCAGTCGTCCTCCGGCTTGGGGGTGGACGACGAACGGCGCAAGAGCCTGGCCGACAAGGGCTGGGCACGCCGCACGGCGGTGGTGAACAGCGTGGGTGCCAGCGGTGCGGCGAGCTTCGAGTTGGTGCCGGGGCGCGAGCAGTTCGGCCAGGGCGACGATGCGGCAGCCGAGTGGGAGCGGCAGATGCTGCAGTTCACGGAGGACAACTTCGAGGACACGGGCATCGAGGTGCGGTCGATGGACAAGCGCGATCGCGAGATCGGGCTGTTCGGCGACTTTCTGGAGCGCGTGAAGCACGGCAAGTTCGTCGAGTGGCGGGCCGACCCGGAGCACGCGGGGTTGTACAAGCTCGAGATGGTGACGCGGGTGTGCGCCTCGCGCCTCTGCTTCTAGGGCGCGCGCCTCGTCTTGAGCGCGTCGCTGGTGCGCTCGATAGGTGGTGGAGGGCGAGAGCGGCGAGTCGTACGAGGTGCCGCTGGTGCCGACCTGGGGGATGGTGCTCGAGTACCTGATCAAGTCGTGCACGGGCCACCCGACGACGCCCAAGGGCGGCTCGAAGGAGTACCGCAACGGGCCGTGGTACAAGCCCATCTACGGCCGGGCGCAGGGCGACCGCATGGGTGAGCGGAGGGCGTACGGACACGGCTCCTATGCGGGCAAGAAGATGCGCTTCACGACGATCGAGCAGAAGTGGTCCCACTTCAAGAAGTGGTTCGACAACGCACTCAAGAACACGAAAGGAAAGGAAAACAGACGGGGTGCGAGAGGCAAACTGTGCTCAGCCCAAAGCTTGCCCCGCGCGGGTTTTTCTTTCTTTCTTTCTGAGCTACGCAAGGCGGTCCCACATGGCACATCCTGAGCCCTGTGGTGTCGAGGTGTCGAGGCCCGGCGGTCGAGGGCGTCGAGCTGCTGTCGAGGGGTAGAGGTGTCGAGGCCTGTCGAGGCCTGTCGAGGCCTGTCGAGGCTGAAACCATGCTTGTCCGTGTCGAGGGGTGCCGAGGGGTGTCGAGGGTGTCGAGCGTGTCGAGCGTGTCGAGCGGGTGTCGAGTTGCGTGGTGGCGCAAGGTGTCGAGCGGTGTCGAGCGTCCGTGTGGCTAGCGCGGGGCTATACTCAATAGCAGAACTGCTGTAACTGTGAAGGTAAAGGAAAGGAAAACACACGGGGTGCGAGAGGCAAACCTGCGAAAGCCCAATCAAAGGCGGTTGCTGTCGACTAAGGACAATAAAGGAAAGGAAAACAGACGGGGTGCGAGAGGCAAACCTGCTCTAGCCCAAGCAAGGCGTCACGCGGCCGCGAGGGACCGCGGGGGAATGCTAGTGGGATGGGGGGCTCTGAGGGGAAGGGAGCGGGGGGCGCCCAGTAGGGCGCCGGCACCCCAGCGTAGAGGGCGTCGTGTATACCCCCTTTTGGTACTCGAGTATAACAAAAGCACGCTCCCCGAGCAGCGAGTCCAGCTCGCAGAAAAAGTCCTCATCGCCGCCGACGCCGACAATGCTGCAAGCTGCCGCGCGAAAGGAAAGGAAAAGAGACGGTGTGCGAGAGGAAAAGCTTGTTCAGCCTAACGCTCGCGGTGAGGGCGGACCACGAGGCGAGGGCGGAGCCAGAGGGGTATTAGTGAGTGAGACACACACACACACACACACACACACACACACACACACACACACACACACACACACACACACACACACACACACACACACACACACACACACACACACACACACACACACACACACACACACACACACACGGAGGAATTAGCTCTTCCGCCTGAGTTTTTTTCTTTTTCAGGAATTAGACCTGCTATGGTCGAGCTGCTGCTGCTATCAACGCGCCGGTTCCTTCGTCCCACGTCCGCCTCGGCTGCCGCAGCACTCGTCCCTCTCCCGAGCACTTTTAGATTTACGCTCCGCAGGTGCAACAACATTGCCAACAACATACCAGAACACCGTAACAACAGTCAACACGGCGGCACTGCTGCGGCACTCTCCTGCGGGAAGGTTCCGAGAAGATTCAAAAGGAGACGCCCTCCGGTCGCCTCACGGCTCACGGCCCAGAGGGCGCGCCGCCTCGCTCGTGCCCCTCCCCCTCCGCATGCGCCCAATACAGACAAAGGCAGCTCCAGCTGCCTGGGAATACCAGCAAGAGTGCAGCATGGTGACGGTCTCGCCGCCGCCGCCGCCCCTCGGGTCGCCCTCGGCCCGCGTCGTCACAGGTC